CCCGCCCCCATGTCCCAGCCACACCCTCGGTTCCCTGTGTCTGAGGCCAGCCTCATAGGGACCCCATCCTGTTCCTCCCACATCTCACAAGTTCATGGCCCCTCCCCTCTTGCCCCAGTCTTCGCATGCTGGGGCATGGGGGCGCGGTTCCTGCTGTGCCCTGGCCTCCCCTCCACTGCTCCATCACCTCCTCCCACCCCCAGCTGCTGGTCCAGTCCCCTGAAGTCTAGCCCCAGGTCTCTCCCACGGCCGTGCGCACCAGCCCAGCGGTGCACAGCCGGATTCAGAAGTCTAGGCATCACCCGAGGCTCTGGTCTGCGAACCACCTGCTGAGTGCTCCCTATTCAGATGCTTTCCCTGGCTCCCAGGGCTTTGATTAAGCCTCAGATGTCCAGTCTTCCACAATCTGCCACAACTCCTCTCATGAGCTCCCTCTTGCTTCCAAGCAGGAGCCCTGGTGGCACAGTGGTTACGAACTGGGCTGCTAACCTCAAGGTCAGCAGTTTGAAGCCACCAGCTGCTCCACAGGAGAAAGATGAGGCTCTCTGCTATAACGAATCGGCAGGGCCTGTAGGGTTGCTGTGGGTTGGCAGCGACTTGGTGGCAGTGCCTTTGTTTTGCTTTGCTTTTTGTTTTGCGCCAGACAGGCCCCGCACCCCACACCTCTCCCCACTGTTTATGCTGTTCATTCTCACCTGGCTTTGTTGATCAAAACCCCCTCCTCCTCAATCAAGACTCAGCCTGAACCCTGGAGCCAAAGTCCTTGGCTCAAAGCCCGGCTCTGCCACTTGCCCTCCTGGTGAAGCCAAGGCTGCCCACTAGCCTGCCAGCAGGGCCCTCGGTCCAAGCTGCCTTAGTGACTGTGAAGTGCCTACCAGCAAGGGCCTGGCACCTAGCAGGGGTTTGGTTAGGACTCACACACCTTGAAGCCTGCTGTGTGGTTTGGGGCAGTTTTCTTGGCCCCTGTGATCCTTTCTAAGACAGGGCTCCTGAGCGGTCCCCAATCCAGGATGAAAAGGAATGCGCTGAGAATGAGGCGCATGAAGCAGAGGCCAGTACCCAGCAAGCCCTGCAGGCCCTTTCAGCAGTACCTTTAGTATTCATGACAGATGCACCCCAACCAAGCCAAACCCGTTGCCACGGAGACCATCCTGGCTTAAGCAGCCCCACAGGGACAGAGTCGAATGGCCCCACAGGGTGTCCCAGGCTGTAATCTTTACTGTACCTCCTCCCTCCCTCGGAGTGGCTGGTGGGGTTGAAGTGACAACTTTGCTGTGAACTCTTGAGTGTTAACTGCCGAGCCCCCAGGGACACCCTCCTCTGACTCCCAGGACAGAAGGCTTAGAGCTGGGGCCTGCCTCCCACAGAAGCCACCACAGGGCCCAGCACGTAGTAGGTCTCTGTGAAACAGACAGTGACTTGGCAAGCCGGCTCCTGCCCTAGCCAGGCCGCCCCACAGGCCTCTCCGATGTGGCCATCATGGCAGTAGCTCCTGGCTTCCAGCGTGCAGCTCGTCCAGTCTCTGTATCTGCAGAGTGCTGTCTCCAACTGCCTCTGAGCCCTGCTGTCCCGCGGGCTCTGTGGTGTGTTGGGGGACAGCTGCCTGCTGGCCTGGTCCCCCCGGAGACCGCTGAGGCCGCCCCAGCTACCAGGGCCTTGAAGGCCAGACGGTGGGGAAACAGACCGAGAGGGAGGCTGACTCACTCGCAGTGGGTACCTCCCAGTCTTTCTAGAACATGTCCTCCCTGGCAATGAGCAGGGCACAGGGTGCCCACCATCGGGCAGGGTCTGGGCGCTCAGTGAGCGCAGTCCCCTCTTGGAAGCTCCTCGTTCAAGGCCTCCCTCAGCCCTGAGATGGCTGTGCTGCCCCACCCCCTGCAGCTGCCCCTAAACAGCAAAACCCAAATCACTGTCTCCAGATGCCATTCCAATTCCTGGCAACCCCCATGTGTTAGAGAGCAAAGCTTGTCTGCTATCGGAAAGGTTGGCAGTTTGAACCCACCCCCTGCCCCGTGAGACAGACATGGGGATCTTCTGTAGGAGCACAGCCCAGGAAGCCCTGGGGGGCCATCCCACCCTCCGTGGGTGTAGGCTTCGGTGGCACCCAGCAGCAGGGACCATCCCTATGGAAGCAGGTGGCCACTGCCACGGCGTGAACCAGGCCCCTCGGTCACACCCCCTCCACGTGGCTTCAGGAGAGGTTTCCCCAGCCCCAACGGGACGGGAGTTCTCGGAGCTTCTCGCCTGATGGACGAGTGGCTATGAGAACCTCTTTGGAGCTAGGCTGCCTGGGTCCCGGCCCAGATCCTCCACGTCGCAGTTTGGGTGACCTTGGGCGAATCTCTCCTGGCCCTCTCCCTTGATGCTCAGCTCTGCAGTGACTGGCTACTGGGTGCAGAGGGCCAGGCAGAGCCCCAGGCACCTGGGAGCCAGGCGGGAGGGAGCAGCCCCTGGAGTGGAGGAAGGGGTCTGTCAATGAAGTGGACTGAGGATGTGATGATGGCAGCTATGATGAGTACTGCTGTTTTATCATGGCTGTCACCGCATGCCCACGGTGGGTCGTGCGGTTCATCTCCACAGGGCCTTGTGATTTGGGAATTATTTACCCAGGCTTTGGGGAGGTGGGGAGCAGGGGAGTCCTGCTCTACAAGGTGCATGACTTCTCAGCCTTCCAGAAGGGCACGCGGCCATAGCAGTGGGGGGCAGCTGCCGATAGAGACCACTGACCGGAGGAGGGTGAGGGTGCTGCATCATTCCCAAGGGCTTCTCTGAGCTTTGGAGGCCACCAGGAGTGTTTTCTGTGGCCCAGCAGGCAGACTAAGCCCCTGGAAGTTTCTGGAACTCCCTGGAGTCTCAGAGTGGTGTGCACTTGGGGGTTGTCCAGGAGATCAGGGGTTCAGAGGGCAGGCTGGAGGCCAGGCTGCTCTTGTGCATGGCCGGGCTGGCCTCCTGCCAGGCTGCCGAGCCCCCACCCAGTGTTCTTCCCGCTCTGCCAGTCAGCGCCGGCTCCTGTCCGGCAGAGGAGGCTGACCGGCCTCTCCTTCAGGAAGGGGCAGTTGCTGGCGGCCTGGCCTGGCGGTGGAGGCAGCATCTGGCCCACTGCGGAGACACTTAGATGCTGGCATCTGAGACAACTTCAGGGAGAGCCGCCCCAGACAAGTGACAGACGGAGGGCGAGCAAGTGGCAGGGGTGCCCCAGCCTGCGTGTGGGCAACCTGGCACCTGTCTGCCGGATGAGGTGAGGCTCGGGTCCCCCCCACCCCCCACAAGCTGGGCGCTGAGTCACAGGCATCCCCCAGAGTCACTGCCTCCATGCTCTGTTGCTGCCTCCAGGTTCTCAGCCCTGGCCTCCTCAGAGAAACCGTGAGTCATATGGAATCGTCATCCCCGGCCCCAGGAGAAGGGAGGGACCAAGAAGAGTCAACCCCCGCCCCCACCTCGAGGGAGGGACCAAGCCCCAACCGTTCTCCGGCTCCTCCCAGGCTCGGCTCAGCACTGGCTGCCAGCCTGGCCCTGCCTGCTGCAGGAGAGGCTCCTCGGAGCCTCCACGCTCACCCGCTCCGGTGGCAACAGGACCAGGGGACTTGCTGGTTAAGCCTTCAGGGGGATCCCAGAAGGTGGGACACCCCCCTGGCCCCACGCAGGACTCTCCACCTGGCATCAGGTACCAGAGGGCAGTGGGCTGAAAAGCAAGAAGGAGGAGATAGGGGCTGAGTGTGTGGCTGATGAGCAGAGAGAGGTGGTGAAATGGGGAACTGGAGGTGGGTGGGGAAGGGTCCTGGCTGTGCTGTGGGTTAGGCACTGGGCAGCTGGCCTCAGGACCGAGGGTTCAAACCCACCCGCTGCTCTATGGGAGCAAGATGAGGCATCCTGCGTGCACTATCCGGGGCGGATACAAGTCAGGACCGATTTGATGGCAGTGGGCTGGTTGGTCATTAGGGCCATATTGGGGGGATTAAGCCAGGTGGGGGTTGCTGTGGTGAGAGGTGGAGGACACATGCTAGAGATGCCAGGACAGCGGTCTGGGTCTACAAGGAGCGGGACCACGCAGAACCACCAGTTGTTGTTAACCTGGGAAAGAGCGGCTCAGAGGGGCACAGTCCAGCAAGCTGGGGTCTGCCTTCTGGGGTGTGAGATAACTGTCCACTCTTACCCCCCTGGACAGAGGCACTGCGAGGGCAGGCGGCTGGCTCAAGATCACACAGCAAGTCCAGGGATGAAGGAGGGTTCTAGAGAGATGGACTTGGCTCCAACCTTGGGGAGGAGCAGTGCTCCCGAGGGAGGCATCCTGTGCCTGGCTGGGACCGAGCGTGTCCGGCAGGTCTGGGCAGGGACCTGTGGAGTGAAAGCAAGTCCAGGAAACCCAGGGCCGATTGGTGGGGAAGCAGACTCTGGGGCCAGCAAGTCTCCTGCCAGGTACCCAGCAGACCTCAGGACTCCCCTCTGCTGGAGATTGATAGGACCTGTTCACCACATGCCAACATTGTGCCCACCCTAGTCCACCGATGTCCCTGTCTCCACCCCCCCAGCTTCCTTTGATGTGTGCCCAGTGGGGGCAGTCTTCCAAAGCCTTATGGGGGAGTGAGTAGGGGGCAGGACTGTCCCTCTCACTCTGGAGCAGCTCTGACCTGAGGCTGGCATCCGATAGGAGCTTTTGTGCCTCCTTCACAAGGCCAAGGAAGTGAGTCATATCAACTTTTACTGAGCACCTACTGTATGCCCAGCACCGGCCCTTGGAACTGGAGGGTAGCCCAGACCAAGAGCCACACACCCCACCTCCTCCCTGCAGGGCGCCCCAAGGGCAGAGGCTGGTTTCTGAAGGGCAGGGACTGGCCCCCTAAGAATAACAGCTCTGGTTGGGAGAGGGCTCAATGGCTGTGTTGGTTCTCAGTATCCTGGTCAGGAGTGGTGGTGGTGGTGGTGGTGGGGCTTTCCTGTCAATGTCACGCCTTTCCTCAATCCAGGGACCCCTGGTACAACCCCCTCGGCCATGGCATCGCTGTAGCCACCTTGCCTGGCCTCTCTCACTCTGGGCCTCAGTTGCTCGGTGATGAGATGGGTGGATGTGAGTGACCACCAGCTCCCCTCCCCTCATGGTCTAGGGACGCAGTTCTGAGAGGGACCCCAAGTGGGTGAGCTCTCCCCAGTCGCTGTTTGTGAGGGAGGGGACCATGCCAGGCAGCCTGCACTGCTATTGCTGGCTTCCGTGCCCTGGGCATAACACCCCACCCAGTCAAGACACAAACAAACAGGACAGTTAAGGTGCTGATGGAGCAGAGGCCTGGCAGAGCCTGAGGAAGCGTCGGAGGCATTTAGGCAGGGCTTGGAGAAGGGTGGGGATGCTGAGACATGGTGGGGAGTAAATAGGGGGTGGGAGTGAGAGCCGGGCTGCTAGGAAGGGGGCCGAGGAGGCAGGGGCTGGGGCGGGGGCCGAACAGGCTGTCCCACCTCTGTCTAGTGCTGGCTAGCCCTGGCATGAGACGCCTTCAGAGGCAGGCGAAGGAAGGAGGCAGGGAGGGGTTCCCGGAGGAAGAAGCTGCCCAGTTTGGGAAGCACTGAGGAGTAGGGCAGTTGTGGGTGAGTGCACTGGGGACCCGGCACAGCCCACCTACTGGCATTGAGCACCAGGCTGGCAGGTCCCGCTTGCTCTGCAGTGGAATGGTGGCTGGAAGACATCAGCTAGGCCAGGTGGGTGCTGCTGCAGGTGGGCAGGTTGGTGACGTGCTCTGGCTCAGCTGAACTGGCCTGGGGCTGCTGGCTTTGAGGCTCATGAGGGGCATTGGGGGTGTGTGTGTGGGGGGCAGAGTCTGGGTGTTGAGTTGGGGAGGGGGTGGACGGAGTGGCTCTCCTCGCAGAGACACAGCATGACCCAGGCTGGAGATGGGAGAGGCAGGGACAGCAGTGTGTGGGGGCCACCGCTACCTTCCAGCAGGTGGCTCCAGCCATGGGGAGTGGAGTATGGGTGGGGGGTGACATGCTCTATCAGGCTGTCATGTGGCGGGTGTGAGGCCATGGGGAGGCGGTGGGGACATCTGGGGCTGGGGGGAGGCGGAGGGAGTGGTAGCTCAGCCCCCAGCCCTGCACTGCCCACCTCTGTCCTGACTGTGCCCTAGCAAGGCTCCCCTTCTTGGGGACAGTCTCGTGCATGGACACGCCTTCTGACTCACAGCAGATGGGGGTATCACGTGAGCACACCACAGCCAAGGGTGGCCAGGACCCCAGGGAGCAGGCAGATGGCAAGGGGTAGGGGGCGGGGCGGGGCTGTGACAAAGGGCCCTCTGAGATGGGGGAGGCAGGGCCAGCCAGACTCAGCCACCCTGGCCTGTCTGCTCTACTGGGCCGAGACCTTGGCATCCCTCCAGTGCCCAGCCATCATGCCTCATCTGGGGGCGGTCCTTGTGGGTCCTGGCCTGCTAGGAAAGGGGCGAGGCATGAGGGTTGGCAGACAAGTTTTCTGCCCACTGTCCCGGTGCCTCCTGCTCTGGAACAATGGTTCTGAGACGCCTTCCCAGGCCCTTCAAGGCCCAAAGTCCTGGTTCCCTTGCAGCCTGGGCAGAGCCCTTTCTTCCTCTCTGGCTGTGTAGCCTTGGGCATGTGCCGCCGTCTCCCCATCTGTAAAAAGTGGGTACCCACAGGACCTTGAGGCGCCCTGGTGGCCCAGTGGGCAAGTCCGTGGCTGAAAGCTTGGCGGGTCAAACCCACCAGTCGCGCCCAGAGCGGAGGCAGCCTCCCTCTAAAGATGGCCACCTCAGAAGCCCGGCAGGGTAGGTTACTCTGTCCCACAGGGTGGCCATGGGTCGGAATGGATTCAACAGCAGGAAGGTCTTTTTGTTTTTAATCTGAACCCTCAGGCGCTCGCGGTGCACAGGCTACTAGCCAAACGTGGTCATTGGCTGCGTGGCACTGGGTTGGAATCGGCCTGACCTCGATAGGTTTGGGGGATAGGACCTGTTTCTGGGGTCAGGGTGAGCACTGAGGGTGTTCACTTAGGGAAGCATTGAGGGAAAAATAAATCAGACTGCTACCAAGTCAATTCCGACTCATAGCGACCCGAGAGGGCAGTCTGTCTGTCCATGTAGGTTTCTGAGACTGTAGCTCTATGGGAGTAGAAAGCCTTTTCTTCTTCCTGGTTGGTGGTTTTGAACTGCTGACCTTGCAGTTAGCAGACCAACTCATAACCTACGAAGAGAACAGGGTTCCCAGAAAAGACTGACTGGGCCCTGTGAGTGCTACACAGACAGGCAGACAGACACAAACAGCAGTGGCACTCAGTAGATTTCGGTGCATGGTGGCCCCATTTGCATCGAGGTCGAACTGTGCTTGGCTGTTTGCAGGCGTGGAGTGCCGGGTGTTTCTTCAAAGACACCTCTGGCTGGACCCGAACCTCCAGCCCTGTAGTTGGCATGCCAGCCTCTGGGATGCCTCTCCTGCTGTGTGACTGGGTGCCTGGACTCACTTCTTGGAGACACGCTATCTCTTGGCACCATCTGGAAGCCCCTTTTCCAGCCCCTGGGAGAAATGAGGGCACTGGGCACCTTTCCCCAGCCCTCCCCCAGCCTGATCACTCTGGAGGGGAGGCTCCTGTGGTGGTGGCGGGCCTGGGTGCCACCGGCTTGGGCTCAGGCCATCTCGGTGTACTGGCAGTTTGCCGTTCTGGGAATGCTGGGCAGAGAAAAAAACGTGGTGGGGGTGGCGGGGCGGGGTAGACAAGCCTCTCTGTCTAAGTGGGAGATGGCCTGGCCTGGGGGTGGGGACCTTGTTGTCCAAGAACCAGTCCAGAGTCCTGTCCCCTGAAAGACAGGCAGTTCTGAGGCTCCTCAGCCTCCGGCCCACTCAGCGGGCTCCAAAGCAAACCACAATGACAACCCGGTGTGTGTTTGCAGGAGAGGAAGGCTGTGTTCTGTCAGTCACATTCCAATGGTCAGTTTTTGGAAGTGGATCACCCAGCCTTTCTCCCTCGGCACCTGGGGATGGACTTCCACCCCCACCCTTCCATTTAGCAGCCAGCAGCATTCATACCATTTGGAGTCCCGTGAGGAGGAGGAGGAGGAGGAGGAAGAGGTGGAAGAAAATGGGTTGGGTGGGGCTTGTCCTCCTTGACCAAGATGGATACCTCTCTGGGCCTCAGTTTCCTGTCGTGTTAGATGGCATAACAAGTCTCCCCCTGACAGCGCTGCTGCTGGAATCGAGGGCCGCTGTGGTTGTAAAGGATGCTTCCGTACAATGCGAGAGGGGTCCTCGGTCCTCCGTGGCCCAGCTGATAACTCCCCAGGGACCGGGCAGGATGAGAGGGAGCAATCCCAATCATGTCTCTTGGCCTCATGACATGGGGTGTCAAGTGGGGAGGGTGGGACCTACCTAAAACAGTTCCGGGCTGTAGACTCAGGAGCTCAAGACTCCACCCTCAGTTATCTCTCCAACCAGCTCGGCAGTGCAGCCTGGGAGAGCTGCTTTGGGCGAAGGGGCTACCTGGTACTGTGTCAGCCCCAGCGCTCTTACACTTGAGGTGAGATGAACTCGCACGGGCTGCAGCAATGGGCTGGGACATAACCCCTGGGAGGAGGGGGCGGTCCCGGCGGAGCTCCCTTCTGTAGTACGTAGGGCCTAGGGCCGTGAGTTGCTGCCCACTGCCCCCAGCAATGACACCCTGCTCACTGAGGCGCC